GCGGGCGCGCGGCTCTTGTTGGTGTTGTTGTTGCGGTTCTCCTGCGGGTCCACCACCAGCGGCCGGTCCAGGTGCGTCTTCACGTCGGGCCGCAGGTGGCGCGCGTACGCGGCCTTCCAGCGCTCGTCGGCGTCCAGCTCGCAGCCGTACAGCGCCTCGCGGCTGGCCAGCAGGTTCTGCTTGCGCATCTCGCTCGTGCGCTGCTCCCACACAGACTTGGCCGGCTTTTGGTTCTTCTGCTGCTCCTTCCTGCAAGGGGTCGGGGTTGGGGCCGCGCTGGGCTAAGGCGCGGCTCGGCCGGGTGACTGCCCGGCCAGGTGGCCCGGCTCACAGGCGCCTCACCTGACCACTGTCTCAGCCCTCCGAGTGTCCGACACTCAGCCTGGCCGGAGGTTGCCCCCTTCCGGGCATCCTGGCCCAGGTAGTGCCTCAGTAGGCCTGGCCAGGCTTCTCGGCTTACAAGCGGTGTCTGTACCTACAGACTCCTCGGCCTGGGCGCTGTCCCTGCTGACCTCCCCACTCTTCAGACGGCCGCGCACGACTCTGGGGTGGCCTTGATGACCTTAGCCTCCACGTGGCCCATGATGGCGGCCAGTGGCCTCCAGCAGGTCCCGGAAGCCCCTGACGCCTGCAGGAGCCTCTAATTTGGATCATGGGCTGCCTAGGGCCCCAGGGAGCACCCAGGGCACCCCAGGTGGGGACTTAGGGATTTGGGGCAGTGGAGAGGCAAACTGACCAGCTCACTGCGGCTGCGGGGTGAGAGTCCCCGGGCTAGGCCTAGACCCCCTAGGTCTTAGGCATTGATCCCCCCCTTTTTTATTTTAAAGAGAGAAAGAAAAAATCCCCCTTTTTTTGGTACTGGAGAACAAACCCAGGGTCTTTGTACTGAGCTGTACACCCAGCTCTTTTTAATTTTCTGTTTTGAGACAAGGTCTTGCTGTTGCTGATGCCCAGGCTAGGCTCAAACTTGGGATCTTCCTGTCTCCAGCCTGGTCTGCTGACCCAGCACCCACCTTCACCCCCACAGCTTGCTCCCCAGCAGTGGACAGAGGGTGCTGTGAGCACTAGAACCAGATCCTGACCCTCCTCTGCTCAAGAACCCTCTGTGGCTCCCCTCTAACCCAGAGCAAAAGCCCAACTCTCCATATCCCACAAGGCTCTGCATGACCTGCCTGTCACCCTTTTGGCCTCCACTTTCCTCCTGTTTTCCCCTTTTGCTCACCTTGGTTTTTGAGACAGTAGTTTTTTAAATTTTGAGACAGTCTCTCACTGTTTCCCAGTCGCACTGGAAAGTCACACTGGCCTGCTGCCATCCCGTCACTGTCTCTGTCTCTCTCTGTCTCTCTCTCTCCCTCTCCCCCTCCCTCCCCCTTTGGCAGTACTAGGGATTGAACCCACAGGCACTCTACCACTGAGCTGCATCCCAGATCTCTCTCCTTTTGAGGCAGGCAGGATCTCACTATATTACTAAGGTGGGACTCAAACTTGTGACCCTCCTGTCTCCTGAGCAGTTGGGATTCAGGCATGGGCCATCACCCCTGGCAGGTCTGTCACCTCATCCTACCCTATCTAATTATATAGCTAATGTCTCACCTCTCTCCCTGACTCAAGCAGCTGTACAAAACCAACCAGGCTGAGCACAGGACTGGGCATGTAGTAGGTGTTCATGAAACATCTGCTGGGTGAAAGTGGATCTATTCCTAAGACTTAGCCATCAGGCCCACTCTCCCCCTTCCGAAACCCTGCCTGGGAGCGGGTAGGGGGCGCCGGGAAACTTACACAGCTATGGACATGTTGGCCGCGGACAGGGGACTCACTTCCGCCACCTCCTTGGCTTTCTGTAGAGCAAGTTTCTGGTTGGCTGCCTCCTCCTCTTCTTGTTCATCCTAGAAGGCACGTAAGGTCCCTGTTCACAAGACGAGGCCTCAGGGTCTCGCTTTGCACCTCCTGCTGACCCTGGGACGCTGAGGTATTTAAAAGCAGGCTAGGCTGGATGTTGACCAATCAGAACCAACATTCAGACTGGACCGAGCAGCCGATGTCAGAGAAGTGTACTTCTAACCCCCTTGTGTACAAGCTCGCTTTCCAGCTCTTTTTATTTTTTTCCAGTACTGGAGACTGAACCCAGGGCTTTGAACTGAGCTGCATCCCTAGATCTTTAAAAAATTTTTAAAAAAATTTTGAAGCCAGGTGTGATGGTGCACGCCTGTCATCCTAGCACTTGGAAGGGTGAGGCAGGATTGCCATGAGCTTGAGGCCAGCCTAAACTACATAGCAACACCCTGTCCCCCAAAAAAACTTTTTAAAATTTTGAGACAGAGTATACTAAGTCACTAAGTTTCCCAAGCTGGGGTCAAACTTGTGATCCTCCTGCCTCAGCCTCCCAGAGTGCTGGGATTATAGGCATGTGCCACCATGCCTGACTTTTGCAGCTTTTTATGACCTCTATTTTAACATGCAGCCAGAAAAAAGAAAGCTTAAGCAAGGCAATTGCCACAGAGCAGGTATCCCTGTACCTGGCTGGGGCCCGCAGAGCTTGTCCTTCGCTTTCAGAGCGGGCTGAACTCCTTGACCTGCCCTCCCCCAAAGGCCAACCAGCACCACGCACAGAAAAGCCTGGAGTCCTTGACTCAGGCTGGGCCGGGTGACCCTGAGCTCTTGGCCCCCACTGGGGCAGGGGAGCCGGGCTCCTGGGCCACAGCTGTGGGTTTCGGGTTGGGGGTGAAGTATAGGACATCCTCACAAAGACGCTTTTGTTTTTGTTTTTGTATTTTTTTGGTACTGGGAATCAAACTCAGGACCTTGTGTTTGCTAGGCAGGCGCTTGTGCCACTGAGCTATATCCCTGGCCCTAATGATGTTGCTTTTTTTTTGTTTGTTTTTGGCGCTGGGAATTGAACTCAGGACCTGCGCTTGCCAGGCAGGTGCCTGTGCTGCTGAGCTATATGCCCGGCCCGATATTTTTGGACTTTACATCCTTCCCCAGCCATCGTGCATGGCCACGTTCATTAAACAGGAAAGTCAACAAACACAAAGCAAAGGATAGAAACAGCAGACACAAACCACCAGCGAGAGAGGCCTGGCAGATTTAAGCCGCTGCGGCTCCCCGCACACAGAGTTCCTGGGGACCCCCGGGGAGGCACATCGGGACCCCCTCAGGCACCGCGCCTGGCTTGCGTAGAACCCCGCACCCTGTGCCTCAGCAACGCTGGCACTGCGGGTTCTCATGCCCCTGAAAGCAGCCACGGAACGAGGGTTCTGCCCAGCGCCCACGTTTTCATCGAGCCCCCAGGTGAGCGTGAAACACTTTCACACATTCAGCAGCAGCTAACGCGCAAGTTCCGGCTGCAGCTGGCCAGAGTTCAAATCCCAGCTCTGCCATTTACTGCTGTGTGGCCTCAGGAATTCTCTTGACGTCTCTGTGCCTTATAATTCTCATCCAAGAGTCCAGTGTCCCCCCCACTTTCCCTGCTTTGCTTCTCTCCTTCGCAACTTTTGCCTTCTGCCGAGCTACGTCTTTTCCCCAATTTGTCTGGGTTTTCCATCTCTCACCCACAGCTTGGATGCCTGTCTCACAAGGGCGGGGCTTTCGGCTGTTTTGTTTTCAGCTTTGCGCCTGGGAGGTGCTTAATCTGTGCTTGGGGGGGAGGTGAAGGATGGGCTGAGGGGGTGGGCTCCTGGAAAGGGGCTGGAGGGGACCCTGCGGTGCCACACGGTGGCCAGGCTGGTGGCTGCGTGCTGGGGGTGGCAGGGACTTCTGTTTCTCTCCGGCCCGCAGGATGCTGGGAAACTCTCCACCCCTGCCTGGGCGAGCAGATGGAGGGCTGGCACTGTTGGCTCGGCTGCCTCGTGATGTCCTGGACACCGTGGGGCACTGGGGACAGGGCTGTGAAGCGGAGTGCTGGGAGGAAGGCCCGCCCCACGTGACGCGTTTGTCCGTTCTGTGCGGCCAACCGAGGCTGGCTTCTAAGATGCCTTTGTTCCGGACACCACCCCACCCCCATAGCAAAATGTGCTCCTTCTGTTACTCCTTCTTCTGGTCTGATTCACCCCACACTGGATTCCAGCCTGCACGGCCCCTCCTCACTGAGGTTCCTCTGTGCAACCATGGTTGGAGCCCTGCTCATGGACTGACTCGGGGCCTGAGCTATGTCCATGAAAGCAGCATTGCTTCCCCTGCACCTGTCTACTCTTAGGGCATCCAAGGCTGCCCTAGGAGGCACACAGTACCAGTTTTTACCCGTATAATTCAACATCATGGATCATGAATAAAAACGGGACCTCACTGCACATAGATGGCTCCTTCTCCCCAGTTTGCTCTGACCACACATCCTTTCCCTTTTCTGCCCCTTGCTGTTCTTTCGGTTCTCAGTTATGTGGACAGTTGCTTCACCTCTCTGGGCCTCGGTCCCCCCTCGGTGATCTGGGGAGAACGGGGCTCCTGCCTCCCTTGCGGTTGCTGATGCCCGACACAGGAGAAAGGCGGTTTTTCTGCAGTTGCAGTTTTGGGTTTTGTTGTTACCTGCTTGGCTGGCGCGCACATCCTGGCTGCCCTCACCACCCAGGGAGAAAAAGGGCTCGGGCCCGAGACCCGACCCGCGTCACTCACAGAGCTGCTGTGACTGGGCACCAGCTGTGAGCGGAAACCGCGCTCTCCAGACGGGGCGGCATTCGGCCCCTGCGGCTTTGCTTCCTGGGCCCCAGTTCCCCCTTCTGCGAATGAAGGACTATTAGCTGGGTGCGGCGGCGCACACCTGTAATCTCAGCGCTTGGGAGGCTGAGGCAGGAGGATCGCTGAGAGTTCAAGGCCAGCTGAGCTACATAGTGAGTTCAAGGCCATCCTGGGCTACACGGTGAGACCCTGTGTCTCAAAAACCCCGGAAGAACAACAAGAAAAGGGCAGCAGGGAGGGGCCCTACAGTAGTGCCAGATACCACGGGGTCCTCTCGCTGCATTTTGCTGCCTTTGGAAGAGGTCAGGGGGCATCTTACGTGGCCCACGTACATGGAGACAGAGGCAGGGCCTCGGTGTCCTGGCCACACTCTCTCTGTCCCCTCGGAGGCTGACCTGTGTGCACTGTGCCCCTGCCCGGCCCCGCAGGTGCTCCGGGACGGAGAGGGTGTGCACTTCTAGGCCACCCCCATCTTGCCTTGCTGCAGCTCTGGGTCCCCTAAGGTCACAGGGTCCGTGTCAGCCCCTTTTCCCTCAGCTCCACATCTGTCTAGGTCCCTGTAACTGCTCTCTGTGCCACCCTTTCGGAGGGTGGCAGTGCTCGCCAGCCTGGGGACAGCGTCATTCCTTGGAATCTCTGCCTAATTCTTTTCCCTGTGTTTCTTCTTCCCCTCCCCCATGTTTCCGTCTCTCCCTTGGAGGACTGAACCCTGGGCCTGTGGAGCTACAGCCCGGCCCTTTTTTATTCTGACAGGATCTTGCTAAGTCTCTAAATTGCTAGGCTGGGTTTGAACTTATGATCCTCCTGCCTCAGCTGCCCAGAGTCCTGGGATGGCAGGCGTGCGCCGCCGGGACAGGCTGTCTGTCCAGTCTCTACACGCCGGCCCTTGGGCAGGGTCCGCCCCGCTTCCCCTCCTGCCCTCTGCGGCAGAACTGAGGGTCTGCGCGAGCCTGGGCGGAGGGAGCAGCACCCCGTGTATGTGTCCAGCTGTCCCTGTCTCCCCCGCCTCTCCATCCTGCTCTGCCACACAGGGTGGCCGTGCCCCGCGGCGCTGAGCTCACCTTGGTGAGCTCCTGGGCGTTGGCCAGGTTGTCCACAGCGATGGCGAGGAACACGTTCAGCAGGGTGTCTGACGCCTCAGTCAGGGAAAGCGGCTGAGGGGGGGCTCCGCTCCCGGAGCCCGGGGACCTGCGTGTCCCGCCCTTCCGCCTCCCCGCCTCCCTGGGGGCCCCAGGAAGGATACAGTTCCCGAAGAGTGTGAGCACGATGAAGTAGATGGAGAACACCATGCCGCCCTGCACACCGCCCTGGGACTTGATCCCGTCGTACATGACCTCGTTCCAGTCCTCGCCCGTCAGGATCTGAGGAGAGAGACGCTTCGCCTCAGCTGCCTCGAGTGGAAGGGGAGCCGCCCAGCCCAGCCGGCCTGCCACTGCCCGCCTTGTCCCCGACCCCACCTGGGGCGGGAAGGGCTGTCCCTACCCTGGGCTGCAGCCTGGCTACTGGGAAAAGGGCACTCTGGTGGGGGGGAGTCACACACCTCCCTGGACCGCTGTCCCCCTGCTGGGGTGATGGGCTTTGCTATCCCCTTCAAGTGGGGGCGGAGACACTGTAACTCCCACGGCCAGGGAACTGGAGACAGTGTCTGGGGAGTGTTTAGGACCACATGGGGTCCAAAGGCAGGGTAGGGTGCTCATGATGAGATTCCTTTTCTTTTTTTTTTTTTCCTTCCAGTACCAGGAATCGAACTCACAACCTTGCGCTTGCCAGGCAGGTGCTTTGCCACTGAGCTAAATCCCCAGCCCCTTATGATGAGATTCCTGACAGCCCTTAGAAGAGGAAGAAAAACCAAGTGTGGTGGTGCACACCTGTGAGCCCAGAACTCTGGGAGGCTGATGCAGGAGGATCTCAAATTTGAGCCAAACCTGGGCAACTTAGTGACTTAGTGAGACCCTGTCTCAAAATAAAAAAATGAAAGAGGGCTGGGGGCAGAGCTCAGCGCCCAAGTCCTAGGTTCCATCTCAAAAACAAACAGAAGAGGAGGAGGAGAGATGAGGGCCTCTCTCCACCATGTTAGGACACCATAAGAAGCCACTGTCCACAGCCACAGAGACCCACCCTTCCTTGACCTTGGGCCTGAGAGACAGGTGTCTGCCCGCCTCGCCTCGCCTCGACTCCTGGCCCTGGCATTGTCCTGAGCTCAGAACGGGCAAGGAACAGACATCAGCGTTCACCTCTGCTCCTCCTGGTCCCTGGAACCGAGTGACCTGGCCTCTGGGTGCCTGGCACTCTTGCCGCCCTGGGGCCGACCTCGACGTCAGGGCTGAGTGCATTGTGGCAGGGTATTCGGAGGGGATGGTGGGAAATACCAGCAGGAGAGGGAAAGCGAGAGGGGAAGGCAGGGCACCAAGGGTGGCATAGAGGCTCCCCTGCTGGGACCAGGGCTGGCCATCCCGCCAAGAGCCGGGCAGCCTGGCTGAGCGCACAAACTCCACCTGGACCCTGGGCTGTGCCTGGGCTGGGTGCTGCTGACTGGAGAAAGCCTCGACAAAGGGATGAGGGGCTGGGCCACCAGGACTTTCGAGGAAGGGCTGGAAAAGGCCTGGGGTATCTGAGTGGCTCCCATGGCTCCTTAGAAGAAAATGGCCCGGAGGACAGGGTTCATGCGACACAGGCCAGACAGACACTCACTCCTATGTGGAAGCTGGAAAAGCTGGGCTCATAGGGGCAGGAGTAGACTCATAGCTACCAGAGGTTAGGATGGGCTGGAATCACGGCATGCACTTGGGAGGCTGAGGCAGGAGGATTGCAAGTTCCAGCCCAGTCTGGGCAAATTATGGACTCAGTGAGACTGTGCCTCAAAATAAAAATTTAAAAAAGGGGCTGGGCATGGAGCTCAGTGAGAAGGTCCTGGCATCAACCCCCAGTACCACACACAGACACAGACACACACACACACACACACACACACACACACACTCACACTCACACACACTCACACTCACACACACTCACAGGAGCTGGAAGGTAATAGATAATACAAATAGATAATAGAGATGAGAATGCTAATTTTCCTGATTTGATCGGTGCACGTCATATGCCTATACTGCACGATCACACTGCAGCCCGTAAATATGCGTATTCTATTATTATTACTATTAACTGGTGCTCAGGCTGGAACCCAGGGCCTCCGGCGTGCTGGGTGGTCCTTCTAGCGCTGAGCAGTCATTCTAGCGCCGAGCCTCACCCCAGTCATTGTGTGGCAAATAAGAAAAAACAAGAAGAAAGTTCCACGATTTCTCTTGTATGACATACTCAAAACAAATAAATTAAAGAGCAAAATGAAAAGTGGATAATAGGGAACGGAGACCGAGCGTTCGCAAATGGCCAGGGGACCGAGAGATGGGGGCGGGAGCGGGAGCGGGGAGGGGCGGGGAGGGGCGGGGAGAAGTTCCCGCCCCAACGCCCAGAAGAGGGCGCGCGCCGCTGGTGCTGCGGACAGGGCCTGATAAAAAATTGAAAAGGAAAGCTCCGCATTTCTTGTTCTGAGCCGGGCTTCCGCCAGGATTAAGTAGGGATGTGCCGAGTGGAAGCAGGCATTGGCCGCGTTTGGGGCGCTGGTTCTCTGGGGCCACGGTCTGTCCGGACACTGCGCGGGGTGCTGAGTAGCACCCCCTGCCTCGCCCACCCCCAGCCCTGTCCTCGCTGTGTCCTGGGGAACAGCTTCGCCGTGTGACTGAGGCCCTGAGCTACAGCGCAGCCACTGCCCCTTGCCACTTGCGAGGGGCTTGGAGCTTGGCTTCACGGGTGCCCCTCTCTGTCCCCTTCCGGGCTCCTGCCTCCGCAGAAGGAGGGATCGCTGCAGAGGTCTGCAGGCCCCGCTGCGCCAGTCCTCAGCCATGACTTTTATCCTTTGTATTCCCACTGGCCGCTTGCTATACACAGCGCTTTCTTTTGCATAAACCTTTTTTGGGCATAGTAATGGGGATTAAACTCAGGGCCTTTGCACTGAGCTACATCCTCAGCACCTCTCCGCTCCTTTTTTATTTTTTATTTTGGAACACAGTCTTGCTAAGTTGCCCGAGCCAGGCTTGAACTTGAGATCCTCCTGCTTCAGCCTCTCAGAATGCTAGGATTCTACGGATGCACGCTTGTGCCTCGGCTACGCTTTTAAAATGCACACCAAGCAACCCGAGCTCAACCTGGTTACCTCCTTCGCTGGGCTCTCATATTCCAGAGCTCACTGAAGTCATAAAAAGGGGCACATCGTGGGCCCACACAGCCTGCCTGTTGCTTGCTGTGGAGACCATAATCCAAGCTTTTGCCCACATTTTCCCTCCTCCTGCCTCAGCATCCCGGAGTACCAGGATTACAGGTACGCGCCACTACGCCCAGTAGAATCTGTGTTTTCAGTGACATTTGTCTCCTGATCTGTTGGTCTCATGTATCTCAGTGATCATGAAATCTGCATTCTAAAACAGTGACGAAAGTCCAAGGCGACACACAGGGTTTCAGGAGAGGGAGCTGCTCCAGAGCGAAGCAGGTGTTTTCGTCCCTGACGCTAAGTGGTGTCGGCTCACCAGCTGTGAAGGTCGTACCTGAAACACTGTCATTATTGCTGCAGGGAAGGTATCAAAGTTGGTAGGAGGAGTCCCTTCATCGAAATTAAACCTGTGGGGATGACACAGACATTCACATGAGCCCTGCCCCGGCTGAGGGTCTGCTGAGCATCCTGTCACCAGGGCAACATCTGCAGCATCTCGGTCTCCAGGACAACATTCTGAGTGGTACCCAGGGCCTTGCCCACCTGGATGACTGCAGCAGGCATCTGGGTCATGAGGAGGGGCCCCGGATGTCCAGAGTGGGGCGTCCTGGGCAGGACCCCAGGGAAACAGAGGTTGGAAATGCTGCCCGGTACTCACTGGCCGCCGAAGAGCTGCATTCCCAGAAGGGCAAAGACGACGATGAAGAGGAAGAGAAGGAACAGCAGGCTGATGATGGATTTCATGGAGTTGAGGAGAGAGACGACCAGGTTTCTGAGAGACGCCCAGTACCTGCCGGCAGAAGCCAGGGGAGGGTGAGGAGGCTGTGAGGCTCTGACCTTCTGGGGGTCACCCCCCCATCCCCCATCCCCACCTGTCTGAAGGCCAAAGGACCCTAAAGACTTACTTTGTGACTTTGAAAATACGCAGTAACCTGAGAGCTCGTAACACACTGATCCCAAAGGAAGTGCCAGGTTTGATGACAGCCCAGATGACTTCGAAGATGCTCCCGATGATAACCTGGAACGGACAGCTAGGTCTCAAGTTCAGGGCCAGCCTCAAGGTCAGCCCTGTGCACATTCACCAGGCCTGAACTCTGCAAGGGCATCACCCAGGCCCCCTCCCAACCTGAACTGGAAGTAGCGGGGAGGGGGAGGCTCCCACTTTCCTCTCATCCTTTCTCTTTTTAAAAACTTTTTATTTTGAGACAAGATTTTGCTAAGTTGCCGAGGCTGGGCTTGAACTTGTGATCCTCCTGCCTCAGCCTCCTGAGGACCTGGGATTACAGGCACACACCACCATGCCCATCACTCCTCCTCCTTTTATTTTATAAGGAGCTTGCACAGACCTGAGAATTCCTGAAGCCCTGAACCACAGAAGGAAAGCCCGCAACACACCCTACCCTTCCAGAGACGCTGAGACACAACCATCACCCTGAATTTTGCACTAATCATTTCTCTGTCCTTTAATTAAAAAAAAAGACACAAAATTCACACAACATAAAATTCATCATTTTGAGAAGGCAGCTCAGTGGCCTTCAGTACATTCCTAATGTTGTACAGCCCCCGTCTCTAATTCCAAAACATCTTCATTGTCCCCAAAGGGGACCTCGTCTCATCTGCAGTCCCTCTTCCTCCTGTCCCGGGCCCTGGCAACCACTAATCTACTTCCTGTCTCCATGGACTGCTGCTCTGGCTATCCTTATAAACGGAATTACGCCATCTGTGACCTCTTGTGTCTGGTTTCTTTCACTGAGCAGCACAGTGTAAAGGTCATTGCCTCTGTCTTTTTCTTTTTCTTTTTGCAGCACTGGGGCTCCAACCCAGGAGCACTCTGCCACTGAGCGACATCCCCAGCCCTGTTTAATTTTATCTTTTATCTTCAGGCAGGGTCCTGTTAAGTCACGAGTGTGTCCAGGCTGGGCTGGAACTTGGAATCTTCCTGCCCAGAGTGTCCTGCCATGCCGAGCTTGGAAAGGCACTTGACGTCCCTAACCTACTGCACGCCTTAGTTTAGTGACAATGTGCCGCTGCAGGCCGGGGATGTCTGCTCATGACCCGGGTGCTGCCCGGGAGCTGTGGCTCCCGGCTACCCAGCATTGTGGGAGGGGCTCGGGAAAATGATCGAAGTGCAGAAGTTGCAGTGCTACTTCTGCTGAATGCAGATCATTCGGACATCGTCATTAAGTTGAGAAGTCGTAAGTTGAGCCTTTGTGAATGGGAGATCACCTGTGTGTGTGTGTGCATGTGTGTGTACCACTAACCCTTGTACCGCAGAGGCACACTCGGGTGCCGGGGCCTCTGTGACTATAGTAGGTGAGGCCACTTGGGACTTCTCTCTGTTTTTCTTATTCTTTTTTTTCTTACACAGGATCTCATTGTGTGGCCCAGGCTGGCTTCAAACTCAGAGTGATTCTCCTGCCTCAGCCTTCCAAGTGCTGGGATTACAGGTGTGCACAACCACTCTTGGTCTCTCTCTCTCTCTCTCTCTCTCTTCCTTCCTTCCTCCCTCCCTCCCTCCTTCTTTGTTTCTTTGTTTCTCTCTCCCTCTTTCTCCCCTCCCTCTCTCCCTTTCTCCCATTCTTCTTCCATCAAATGAGTCATTATTTCCTCTAACAAGGCAGAAATTAGTACTCAATTCAGAGTCACAGAGAATCATCAATTCTTTCTGAGACTAACAGGACTGCAGCACATGATTCTGGATGCTCTGTGGGAAGCATTTTCTGCTTCTTATTTGCTAACAATTCTGCTATAATTTGGACCTTAAAGGGCTGTGTATTAAAGGTTTGGTCCTCAGGACTGAGCCCTTGAGAGGAGGTGGTGCCTTTAAGAGGCGGAGCCTAGTGGGGGGGGGCGTCCTTAGGTTACTGGGGGCATGGCCTTGGGAGATCCTGGGACCCAGCTCCTCCCTCCTTGGCCCTGAAGTGAACAGTTTTCCTGCTCCCTCCAAGACAGGTGCCTGACCTGGGCCAGGGATTGTACATCACTCATTGGCTCAGAGCGCCAAAACCAGAGTGTGAACACAGCTTGTCTCTTCATAGGGTGATGACTTGAGTATTTTGTTACAGCAGTGGAAAGCTGACTGACGCAGAGAAACCCTAACTGCATCCTAGCAACAGGGACATTTTTATCTTTATCTCCTGGGCACCTGGGTGAGTTTCTCTGAAAGGTCTCTGGGGGTGGAGTTGGCAGGACCCCCTCTCTGCCCCAAAGATCTGTGGTGCCCTTCCCCGTGGGGGAGGTGAAGCTCAGGGCACCCCTCCATCTGTGCAGCCACTGTGGTCGCTGCCTGCCTGGGGCACCCTGCCTCCCCTGACTGGCTTCGCAGGCACTGGGTCCTAGGTCCTGGTCAGGGGTGGGAGCCACGGACCCTCCGACCCCACACACTTACCCCACAGTCAAAGCAGTTGAAGGAAGAGTGGAAGTAAGGCCGCGTCCCAAGCCCGTACATTTTTATAAACATTTCGGACATAAAGAGTCCTAAGAAAATGAATTCTGCATAGTCTGGAAGGGAGAAGGAAATAGAGAGGAGAAATGATGGTGAAAACTGCAGGGCGCTGCTTTTTCTGTGAAGAGAAAAACTCTGTCCTTAGCCCGGCCTCAAAGGCAGGGATGGAAATGCCTCTGGGGACCTTTTCTTTTTTTTTGGTTTTCTTTGAGACAAGGTCTTGCTCTGTAGTCCAGGCTGGCCTTGAACTCACTGTATAGTTCAGGCTGGCTTCAAACTCATGGTGATCCTCCTGCCTCAGCCTCCAAGTGCTGGGATTGCAGGTGTGCGCCTCTGTGCCTGGCTTCTTTGGGGACCTTTTCTGAAGGTTCTGCAAAACTTTTTTGCCATAGGCCTCAGTTCACCTTTTGCTAAACAAGAGTAACAATTGTCCCCTATCCTTTAATCAGCCAACCACTCTCAGGCCAGTCTTAAATGAGTGAGAAGAAGCGAGGCAGGTCTTTACCTGGTACTCGCTGCCCTGGTTTGAAGAGGTCGAACGTAGGATATCGCTGAGGTCCTAGCTTTTGTGCTGATGGGCAGGTTCCTGGGTGTTCAGAGTATTTAACAAACTAACCAACTGGCTGGGGGTGCAGCTCAGTGGTAAAACACTTGCCCAGTATGTGTGAAGCCTTAGGCTCCATCCCCAGCACCGCAACACCCCCAAAACAAGAGCCAAAAACTCCCCAAAAGCTAACTAACTTGGTAATTAACAGAATAACAGCAGGTCATACAAAGCTTCATAATGCTGGTGTGTCCTTATCGAAGAATGACACTCTGTCTGCTTGCACGAAGCTCCAAAGTGGGTGGGAAGAAACAGAAATCATAATGGCGCCCTCTTCTAGTCCTGTGCTGGGGCCTCTGATGGAGCCCCATGCCCAGCCTATGCAGGACACAGCTTTCCCGATACCCTCCGGAAACCCTGTCTTGCTGGTTGTGTAAAAGTCTGGAGCAAGATAAAGACTTGTTTTCTTGTTTTTGTTTTTTAATGAGAAAGCACAAACATGCAACTGCCTCAGGGAAAAGCAGAAATGTGGATTTTCACTTGCTCTAGCAGAGACATGGTGAATAGGAGGAGGTCCCTTCTGGAGAGAGCCTTCTCGTGTGTGTGGGGTGGGGAAGAGAAGGAATCAGAAAGTACACAGGGCCTGGGGGTGTCCCGTAGTGGCAGAACGTGTGCCCAGCATGCAGAAGGACCTGGGTTCTCACCTACTGGGCAGGAAGGAGAAGTGTGGAGGGTTCTAAAAGGAAGACGAGAGCTCAGAGGGCTTCCAAGAATGTCACAGTGATGGCCGCAAAGGTAATAATTCTGCATGGTGGCCGCTGAGATTTGAATATCTGTGTCCTCTCCAAAATCCATGCTGACACTGGACTCCCAGTGGGACACTATTAGAAGGTGAGGGCTTAGGAGGTGATAACGCAGGGGAGAGAGCCTTCCCGCATGGCTTGATGACTCTTTTCCCTTCAGCTTTCTGCCACATGAGGACACAATGTCGGCCCCTCCAGAGGATGAGAGTTCAAAGTGCCATCCTAGAAACAGACAGCCAACCTCCCACATCCACAAGCAGAATTGCCAGTAGCTTGACTTTTGCCTCTTAGATTCTAGGACTGTGAGAAAATATATTTGTTTGTTTTATTATTTATGTATTTATTTATGTATTTATTTATTTATTTATTTATTTATTTTTGAGAAGGGTCTCATTAGGTAGTTCAGGCTGGCCTGGGCTCACTAGGTAGCTCATGATAGCCTTGACCTCACAGTGATTCTCTTGCCTCAGCCTCCCAAGTGCTGGGATTACAGGTGTGTGCCACCATGCCCGGCTTCTGTTCGTTTTAAATTGCCCAGTCTCAGTTATTTTATTATGGTAGCACAAATGGGCTAAGAAAATGGTCACAAGTATTTTCTATATATATATATATTTTTTGGTGGTAGTGGTACTGGGGATTGAACCCAGGGCCTTTCCTCAGCCCCCATTCCCTTTTTAAAAAGTTTTTATTTTGAGTCAAGTTCTCACTAAGTTGCTAAATTGTCTAAGCTGGTTTCAAACCCACGATCCTGCTAGATTACAGGGGTGCACCGCCATGCACGGCTAGATTTTGCTCTTTTATTTTCTTCCCCTTTTCTGGGACTGGCAATGGAGCCCAAGGCCTTGTGTATGCTAGACCAGAACTCTACCACTGAGCTCATTTCCCAACCCTAGGCTGGACAGACTGACAAGATCCCTCACATTCACTTCTTATTTATGGGGCCCGAAGGAGCTTCTAGCATCTGGGACTAACTGTAGCATCTCTAGAACTGGAATATCAGCAAAAGAACTGCGTCTACAACACCTGGTGGCTTCCAAGACCCACCCAAAGCAACTCTGGGAAGACTGAACAGTTTTCTTTCTTTCTTTCCTTCCTTTCTCTCTCTCTGTTTTGCTTGTTCGTTTTTTTGTCTTTTTGAGACAGGGTCTCACTGTGCAGTTCAGGCTGGCCTTGAGCTCACTTTGTAGTACAGGCTGACCTCGAACTTGCGACGATCCTCCCGCCTCAGCCTCCTGAATGCTGGGATTACAGGTGTGCGCCACCACGCCCAGCTCTTTCTTTTGTTTTTTGAGACAGGGTCTCTCTACGTAGTTAGTTCAGCGTGGCCTTGAACTCACTATGTGGCCCAGGCTGGCCTTGCCCTCGCAAAGATCCTCCTGCCTCAGCCTCCTGAGTTCTGGGATTATAGGCATGTGCCATCACACCTGGTTTGAACAGTTTCTGAGATGTTTATCATGAAAACACAACAGCTCAGTGCTACAGGAGACAAAGAGAGAGAGAGAGAGACAGGCAGACAGAGACGGAGACACAGAGAGAGGCTGACTCATCCCTGGCATCTATGGGTCTGGGGAAACTTTCGGGGCCATCAAATCTAATTTCCAGAGAATTTACTAGGCTTTGCTGATTTTAAGATATACTTTTTTTTTTTTTTTTCTTTTTTGTTTATTTGAAACAGGGTCTCACTATATAGCTCAAGCTGACCTTGAACTCACTATATTATAGCCAGGGCTGGTCTCAAACTTTCGGCAATCTTCCTGCCTCAGCCTGGGGTTACAAGTGTACTCTACTGTGCCCAGCTCAAGACACACATTTTTGTTTCCATTTTGACATCACTGAAATCAATATGTGTCTTAAAATCCGCATGTCCTACTTTTAGATGGCAGCATTGTTTTAGGTGCCTATAGGCGCCTAAAATAAATGGATATCTTTGAACAATGAATGATGGTAATGATGTGCCCAAGGTCACATGGTGAGTTAGGTGCAGGCAGGCACTGAGAATTCAGTCACCTGGTGAACCAGAGTAGGGATCTGTCATCAGACAGTTTGGACTGCAGCCCAAACGTCGGAGGTCAAGTCCTAGCTTCATTACTTACTAGCTGTGTGACCTTAGACAAGTTACTTAACCTCTCTGTGTCTCAGTTTTTTTCAACAGGGAAATGGGGATAACTGTGGACTTCTACAGACACAAAATCCCCAGGTAAGAAGTCTCAGTCCCTTGTTTCTAAACCAGGACATGCTGCAAGGTGATTAGTGGGGAGATTAGAGGTGATTAAAAATAGACTATCAGAGGAGGTTACAGGAAGAAATGAAGAGACCTCGTTTGTACGGCTCCAGAGGGACCCGATGCAATTACTAAGGTTAGAACTAGGTCGGGACGCTCAGAAGGCCTGGCCCCCGAGGGGTGTTCTGGGGGTCAGCCAGCAGGATGGGAACAAGGTGGGTGATGAGGAGACAGTGATCTGGGGTTGGCTCCGGGGCCTTTCTAGGTGGCAGACGTGACTGTCTCTCCTAGCTATCCCAGGTCAGCTCTGAAAGAGGTGGGGAGGGCAGGGAGTAAGTCAGACAGCAGGCAGGTGCAGGAAGAAGGCACAGGGAGGGGAAAGAAATCCCTAGTGAGGGCTCACAAGCCAGATCCAGGCTAAGCACTGCACTTCCCAGCCCAGTCACACCTCTTGTTTATCTTCTAGAGCGCTTTACTTTTCACACTTGGTCAGAGGCCTCCTGTTCACTGCTTCTCTTCCTCTCCACTGGTTCTCAAGTTTGACACTGTCTCATGCTCATCTCTGGAATCTGGGAATAAACCCAGGCAGAGGACAAAGTCTTAAGGGCTCTGGTACCCACTAAGAGAGCAAGATGTGCTCATATTTGTTTGAGAAAATCTAGGAACGAATCTCAGCTGTAGGAAAACCAAAAAGGAAAGAAGAAAAAGTAGGAGAGAAACAAAATGTTTGAATAGGAGGGAAATAGGAGGTCAGAATTGAGTGGAGAAAATGAATACAACATACAGAACCACTTCCTGTTTGTAAGATACCACCATCTTTTGGCCATGGATTATTTTAACACTCTCAGAGGTACACATAAATTAAATGTGGTTTGTTTGTTTGATCGGGTCTCACTGTGTAGCCCAGGATGGCCTCAAACTCAAACAGGTGGCAATCATCCTGCCTCAGCCTCCTGAGTGCTGGGATAACAGGTGTGCACTGCCATACCTGGCCAGAAATTAAATGTGTTCTTCCCCTTCCATCTGGTTGTCTGTGCTCTGTATCTTTCTCTGTCTCTCTTCCAATGCTATCAGAAACTCTTGTCTCTTTCTTAGAAGAGTAGGCTGAATTCCTCTTCCAGCTCTCAAGCCAGAGAAGACAGTTGGTACTATGGGTTAGAAATGGTTTGGGTCCCCCTAAAGATTCATGGATTAAAGGTTTAGTCCCAGGGAGGCGGCATTGAGAAGTGGTGTAGATCTTTAAGAGGTGGGGCCTTGTGGAGGGCCTTAGAGCAAATGGAGTACATATCTTCCAAAGAGACTGTGGTGTCCCAGTCTCTTTCTCTCTGCTGCCTGGCTCAAGATGCGACCAGTTCCAACACGCATTCTCGCCATTACCATTCGCTATTCACCATGAGATCCTCACCAGAACTGACCTGATGTGGACACTATGCCCTTGCACTTCTAAAACTACGAGCTAAATAGACCCTTTCTCTTTGCAAAGTTGACTGCTTTGGGTATTTTGTTGTAGTGACATAAATCTAATACAGGTTCTACTGTGGCAACAGCAACATTGTCTCCAGTAAAGTTTGTAGAAATGGTCAAACGAAGGGGCGGATTCAATGAGGATCAAATGAGTAACATAAGCCACCAGAGGAAGAGAAGTAGAAAAAAGGGTGTGAGGAAGGGATCAGGAATGTGGCCAAAGGTGGGTGCAGGGCGGTACTCACAGAGGAAGTCAGAGAGCCAGTCGGGCTGGTTGTAGTGGACAATAGCAACGCACAGCGTGTTGAGGGCTACCAGACTGAGCACAGTCCAGTAGAAGGCCTGAGTTTTGACCATGCGGCGGATGTAGAAACGCATCCTCCTCTCCTTTTTGTGAAAAAAAGTTGAGTTCTCCAGCTTGGCACTTTTAATGCTGGCTCGGGCAAAGGGAGACCCTGCCAGGGAAAGGATAGAAATGTTAGACTCAGGCTGTTCCTGTGGAGGAAATTCACCAACATGTGCTTGGGGCATGGATTCTGGCCAGGGACCCACGGTTCTCCTAGCAAGGCCTCTGGCCCAAGGGAACTTTCATGACCCAGGGTTCAGCTCTGGAGAGATGGCACTTAGGAGACAGCAATGTCCTTGAAAAATCACAGAATTGGAAGTAACTGATGAGAGCTTTGGATAGCAGTTGAGAGGCTAATGGCTTCCACTGGTGGATCCAATTTTCCATGCCTGTCACTGTGACCACTTTTTTTTTATTTTTTTTATTTTTTTTATTGGTAGTACTGGGGACTGAACCTGAGCTATATCCCTTAACCTTCTTTATTTTTTATTTTGAGACAAGACCTTGGTTAGTTCCCTAGGTTGAGCTGAAATTTGAGATTCTCCTGCCTTAGACTCCCAGAGTGCTGGGAATGTATGCCTGTGCTTAGTGGTGGCTCTGACCTCTTCTGATGCCTTGGGAGTGTGTTGTGTGTGTCACACCATAGGGTAAGATGAAGCAGGACCCCTGTGCATGCCTGGAAGGCCCCCAGAACGAGGTGAGGTGATTCCATTTGCCCATTTTTGCTTTTCTTGCTTATGTTTTTGGGGTATTGTACAAGAAAGCATTACCTGGACCAACGTCACAGCACTTTCCCCCTTTTTCTTTCTTTTCTTGTGTGCATATCAGTATGTGGAATGGTGGGTTTCAGCTTGGCATATTCATGAATGCACACAACACCCTCTGACCAGTGCCGCCTCCATTACCCCTGCCCCTCCCTCTTCGCTTCTTCTTCTCTAATCCTCATCCTTCTCCTTTCACAGCATCTCTCTTCTTCACTAGCGTATATCTGCAGCATGTTATCATCACATTTGCTTTGGGGAGTTGGTACTTGTATGTACCATATCTTGATCATTTTTGATTACTCTATCCTTCCTCCTACCCTCTCTCTCTCATGCCATCTCTTTTTTAAAAATGTAACCCCTAGATTCCTAATATGAAAGAAAACATTTGATAGTTGGCCTCCTGAATCTGACTTATTTTACTTAACATGGAGGACTCCAGTTACATCCATTTCCCTGCAAATAACATGATTTTTTATGGCTGAGTAATATTCCACTCTATCTATCTATCTATCTACCTATCTATCTATCACATGTTAAAAATCCATTTATCTGTGAGGGGCACCCAGGCAGGCTCCAATTACTAGGCTTAGCAATTGTGAATTGTGCTGCAATAGATCTGGTTATGCAGGTATCCCCATAGCATGCTGTCTTTAATTCTTTTAGAAATATAGCAAAGAGTGGATCAGGTAGTGTTTCTATCTTTAGTTTTCTGAGGATCTCCATGTTGATTTCCACAGTGGTTGCACTAATTTACAGTTTCACAGCAGTGTAGTAGAGTTCTCTTCCCTGCATGCTGCCATTCAACAAGTGTAGTATGAAAAAATGTGTATCAATGGATGGGCATGGTGACCCATGCCTGTAATCTCAGCTCCCTTGGAGGCTGAGGCAAGAGGATTGCAATTTTGAACCCAGCCTGGGCAACTTAGTGACTTACTTAGTGAGACCTGTCTCAAAACAAACAAAAAACCCCAAAAAACAAAAGGACTAGGGATGTAATTCACAGTGAAAGCTCCAGTAGCCTTCCATGAACGCAGGTGTGTTTGGTAGATTTATACATGGGTGTCATGGGTTCTGAAACTCAGAAGGGCTGTGTGAATAGTGCGTTGAAAAGCTGTGAATGGCTTTGCTTCTAAAATCACCCCTGAGAAAACACACCCAAAGGACGGGGTGGGGGGTTCATCGCTGTGTACAGCAATGCTCCTCCCGAGGAGAAGACCAGAGTCAAGGCCGGCACCCCAACAGCGCCACACAGCATGAGCCCCGCACACCAGGTGGGCTGTGGCGTCGCAATAGAAACCAGGTCAGAACTCAACAATGGAGTTAAACTGGGGCTGAGGAAAAGAGCAGAGGACAGTATCGTGTGCACTGGGCGTCAGAAACACACACACTCTGCCTGCTCTGCCTTTCCTCCATCTCTTCCTTCTTTCTCCCTCCCCTCTGCATCCTGCCCTCCTTCCTCCAACTTTTCTCCTTCCCCTTCCTTTCTTTCTTCCCTCCTTTCACCTCTCTATCCTCTTGTCCATCTTTTCTTTCCCTACATTGCAGCCACACATTTCCCAAACAGTCTAAACCTCTTTCCCCCGCAATCTCACTCCAGTCTTATTTCCTCTGCCTGGATCCTCTTCCACCCATTCTTTTACAATTGGAATTTTTAAACACTTGTTTCAAAAGCCAAAAGAAAACCCAATACACTGTCAGGTAGAAGGTCAGCACTAACGCCACCTCCGTCCATACATGGCTTTAATAGGAAGGGTCCCCAGAGACCCGTGTGTCAGGGCTGGGTCCCCAGTGCAGCCACGGCCACAGTGTGGCTGGAGAGGTGACTGGGTCACTGACGGTGGCGACCTCAATAGTGGATTCATCCACTGACTGAGTTCACATCTGAATAAGCTGGGAAGAGGCGGGCGCAGCTGGAGAAGCGGGTCACTGAGGCGTGACTTTGGAGAGTATGTCTGGTCCCTGGCCCCTTTCCTTCTGGATCGTTCCCTCTCTGCTTTCTGGCCACCATGAGGTGAGCACTTGGCTCCACCATGCCCTTCCGCCATGTCGTCCTTACCTCACCTCAAGCTCCCAGCAATGGAACCAGTTGACCGTGGATGGAAAACTCTTAAACCCCGAGCCAAAATAAACCTTTCCTCCTCTAAGATTCTTTGGCTTTGCTTCTAAAATCACCCCTGAGGAAACACACCCAAAGGACGGGGTGGGGGGTTCTCAGGTATTTTGTCACAGCAATAAGAAGCTGATCAATATAGAGCATGAGGAGGAAAAGAGTAAGTGTCCCCAAGCCCTTCAAACTCCAGCCTTTGCTTACACCAATGGCATTGGTCTCAGCACCGTCTTCCACACCATTCCCTGTGTGGTCCTCGTCGTGATAAACTCCTATCTGGCCTTTTCTGCTCAGCTAAAAATCACTTCCTCCAGAAAACCTTCCCTGACCATGCCCTACCCTTCCAGAGCTGGCCAAAACTAGGGTGGCTTCTCTTCAGCTCCATCAGCCTTGTAGGTTTGTTGGCATAATTCTCTTTAGTATCCATTTGCAGGCCTGGGCTGTGAACCCTGGGTACAGTTTCTATCTCTGTCTTGTTCACAGGCAGGCACTTAATAGGAGCAGGTCCCGCGCCAAGATTCCTGAAGGAAGGTGGATGGAGTATCCTTAATCTGAAGATCTGAACTCTATATTTTTTTGCCACTGGGAATCAAACTTAGGACCTTGGGCTTGCCAGGCAGGTGCTGTGCCACTGAACTATCTCCCTGGCCCCTAAAATCTGTAATCTAAAATGCTCCAATATCTAAAATGTTTGGAGCACCGACAATATGGTACAAGTGGCAGATTCCACACCACGAAACACTGTACTGCCTCATGTACAACATTATAAAAATACTTTAGAAAGTTACCTTCAGCTAGGTGTATATGGAGCATACATGACTTCTGGGTTTAGCCTTTGGCCCCAACCTCTTTGTCTTAATGAGACAAGATAGTTCATTACACATATGCAGGTGCTCTAAAACTTGAAGAAGTTTGAAATTTGAAGCACTTCTAGGTGCAAGTGGTACAGATAAGGGATTCTCAACCATTACATGTATTAGTCAACACTGGGGCCTTCTCTAAATGCTAGCTGGGTCTTTATAATGATACTACAAGACAGGCACTGTCATTATTTCCATAATCATGTAACCTGCCCTGGGACACATGGGGTGAGAGGCAGAGAGGAGACTCAGATCCAAGTAGCCCAGTTTCCCTCATAGCTTGGGTGGTCAGGGCCTGGGAAGGGACTCACCCACAGAGGCGATGTCGGCCAGCTGATCCTCAGCCTCTTCTGGGTTCAGCAGGTCTGTCTTACTTTTCTTTATAGTGGCTCTCCGCAGAGCTCCAACAATGGAAACATGGCAAGAGAAAAAGACATTACCCTTTTTGCAACAGTGATGATACATGGTCAGAGTGCATCTCTGAGTGTAACCCTCATGACAGTTGGTTTGGTGGGAGTCCATAGCATACCCATTTTACGGATGTGTAACCAAGGTTCAGGGAGGTGATATCACTTTGCTTAACATGTCAAGACAAAAATCTAGATTGGTTCTGTTCCAAAGGCTGGTCTCTCAACTGCTATTTTCACTCTGGCCTATTTTTAAATTCTAAGAAACCTCACTTTCCAGCAATCCCGGGACTTGATACATAGTGAGTGATACACAGGAAAACAGTCCACGCCTTGATTTGCAGCATAGTAGCTGGGCTGGCTGGGATTGTGGATGTTTCCCCCAAAATATGGAGGGGCACCCTGCAAGGACTCTCCAGGTTACAAGAAGTTCATGCATACACAACCAATAAGGAGATTTAAATACCCCTGTGAGTAATCTCTTCTTGTCCCCCAAATACAAGAAGTGGGATTCTTTTTCTTTTTTTTTTAGATGGTGCTGTCACTATGTTACCCAGGCTGGCCTAGCTGGAATCCAGCCAGAATGAATTCCAGATCCTTCATTTCCTTTGACTATCCATGATATTCAATAAAAAGTCTCTGCCCTATCTAACGAGCTTTCTTTCTTTCATTCTTTCTATGGTGCTGGGGATTGAACCCAGGACCTTCACACTGAGCTCTAGCTCCAGCTCTTTTTTTTTTTATTTTAAATTTTGAGACAGGATCTTGCTAAGTTGTCTAGCCTACACTTCAATCTGTGATCCTCCTGCCTCAGCTTCCAGGGGTGCTGGCATTATAGGCATGAGAATATAAGCTGAAGCAATCAAATGAAGTTCAGATGGTCCTGGACTTGATGGCTTCAATTTATGATGTTTTCAGCTTTATGATTGGTTTCTTGGGATGTAATCCCACTGAAGATCAAGGAGCATGTGAACTTATCATAGTTCAGCTTCTGGTCTTTTGACCTTATAGTGGGTTTATTTGATTAATGAATTTTCAATTTATGATAATTTCATCTTATGATAAGTTTATTGGGATGTCACCCCATTATAAGAGGAAGATTATCTTGGCCAGGCATGGTGGTGACATCTATAATCCCAGCACTTGGGAGGCAGAGGCAGGAGGATTGCTACAAGTTCAAGGCCAGCCTGAACTACATAGTGAGTTCAACCCAGCCTGAACTATGCAGCAAGACCCTGTCTCAGAAAACCAGAGCAAAAGGACCATCTGTACTATTCTTATTGTTAATATGATCTTGTAAACATTTCCTTCTTGTCTCTCTCTAAAACTGAAGAATCTCCACCTTCGGGGAGCCCTAAGGTGGATACACTGTGACTTTTACAGTCCACACCTTGACTCCCTGCAGCAAATTGGGTGTACGGGCACTTTTTAATGCTCCCTCCTCCTGTATGCGGGTCTCCCGGGGTCAATGACTTTTTCTACATCCTAGAGACAGTAATTCACACTCCTTGAAAAGAGCCTGGTAATACTGATTTTGTAACTGACTGAAAGGATCCTCAGCTCTTCTATTTTCTTCTAATACACAGTATTGTCAATGAAGCCCTGGCTCTCTCTGGCCAAATTTTTAACATACGGGACAGCAGACCTTAACAATAACTCGATTCTCAATGAGATGATTATTAATATTATTGAAGCTCCAGTGGTGCAGTCGGTTAGTGTATGGTACTTACAGTAATATCATTATTTGTTTAGCAATTATTGTTTATTTGTTTAGAAAGTGAGGTAAGCACAGAATTCTCCCTTATCTGTAGTATCACTTTCTGAGGTTTCAGTTAACCTCAGTCATTTGCATTCTGGTACAGTACATGGAAAATTCTGGAAATAAACAACTGATAAACTGTAGTTAACAGTTTATTGTTATAGTTGTTCCACTCTATCATTAGTTATGGTTGTTAATCCTTTACTGCACCTGGTTTATAAATTAAACTTTATCACCGATCTTTCTGAGATGTCCTGGTCACGTGTGTATTCTTGGAGCCTGAACATTCAGCCCTTGGAAATGCATTAGAACCACATCACTTGTTCTCCCCGCCCCAGTTGCTTCCATCTCCCCAGAGACCCAGCAGTGAGCTGGGTATAGAGCAGTTACCATCAAAGGGATGCCTCTGCTCCACGTCGGTCTCGTCTTCTGCGAGGATCACCTCTTCTGAGGAGGAAGAACACGAAGTTAAGCTCCCATGTCTGGAGGGCTCACTGGGACAGGCTCCCTCAGACAGGGAGGATGGGTCACAAGATGTGCTGCTCACTTGTTTCTGGCTTCCAGCCCCTTCTCCGTAGCCGTACCAATGACCAACTGCTACGGCTTGGATGTGGTTGTCACCCAGTGGTTCATGTGTTGGAGACCATTGTGCGGCAGTACTGAGAGGTGGGCGGACTTCCAGGGGTGGGGCCTAGGGGAGGTCCTTGTGCCACTGGGAGTGTGTCCTCAGCAGGGATTAAAATAGTTTCCATGGGGCCTTGGAGCTCTTGCAAGAGCAAGTTATTTCACGAGTGGATTAGTCCCCAAATCACGCCCCGGCTTCCTGTTTGATGATGTGATCTCTCTCCCTCTTGCACATGCTCTCACCATGACAGCATGAAGTCTTTACCAGGTTGAGGTGACACAGATCCCATGCCCTTGAGTCTCTAGAACCTCTTTTCTCTATAAAGTTAGATGCCTCAGGTATTTTGTTATAGTAATAAAAGATGGACTAATACACCAACATTATCCCTATTGCATCTAAAACCCAGTATTTCCACCTCAGCCTATAAGCCCCTGCTTGATCCAGTCCTTCTCACTTTTCTCTCTTCCTCCTTGTCCTCTTCTTCTTCCTCTTTCCTTTACTCATTTTGCCCCAGCCACTCTGGCTTCTTTGCTGTCTCCCCCACACCCCTACCTCAGGGCCTTTGCACTTGTGTTTCCTCCATCTGGAACTTCCCGCAGCATCCCCAGAGCATCTATTTTCACTTCCTCTAGGTCTCTACTCAGACATCACTTCCTTAGGGAAGAAGCCTTCCCTAATCACTCTGACTCCAACCACTCTCTGATTCCCACAGTAAGTCCCTGATTTACACACATTTGAGTTGTGAACTTTCAAACAGATGAATGGGCCTCATGTTATGAACATTTGTGGATGGGAGCAACTTGTAGAAGTAATTCACATGTCTACCCACCATTTTTTGGTAACTGGAAAAGTAAAAATAGTTTATCTGTAGTATTCTTGTGTGTGTGTGTGTGTGTGTGTGTGTGTGTGTGTGTGTGTGTGTTTGGTACCAGAAGTTGAACTCAGGACCTTGCGCATGCCAGGCAGGCACTGTGCCACTGAGCTATATCCCAAGCTCTGGGTTTTTTAAAAAAATTTTTCATTGTATATTTGTTTCAAAGGTGTATAAGACTCACTTTGTTGGACTTATGAATGAATCTGACTTAATGAAAGTTCTCCCAGAATGGAAATTGTTTGTAGGGTGGGGACTTACTGTGCTTTGCTTTCTTTTTCTTCTTGGCATTTGCAGACACAACACGCAATGTATTTATTTGTTTTGTCTCTCTCAAGAATGTCAGAGCCCTGTGAGCAGGGATTTGGTCTATTTTGTTTGTTACCACATTCGAGGACCTGGAATAGCGCCTGGTACACAGTAGGTGTCCTGTGAGTGTTTGCTGGATGGATGAACAAGTAAATATGTGCCTACTGTGAGTCAGGCATTGCTCTTCCTAAGCGAGCTAACCCGGATCTTACTGAACACACAAACAACTCTGTGAGGTAGGTACCATCAGCCTTTCTTTCCCACAGGCTTTATATCCATGGATTCCACCAATCATGGATTAAAAATATTTGAAAAATGTATTTGCATTAAATGTGCAAACATTTTGGTCATTATTCTACACACAAGTCAGTAGAGCAACTATGCACACAGCTCTTACACTGTGTTAGGTGTTACAAGACATTTAGAGATGATTTCAAATCTGTGAGAGAAGATGCACAAGTTTTATGCTAATACTACTTCATTTACTATATGAGACTTTAACATCCAAAGATTTTGGTATAGCATCTGTGAGGGTCCTGGAACCAACCATCCATGATACCAAGGGCCAATTGTAATTTTTTTTTTTTTTTTTTGGTTTGAGACAGGGTCTCGCTATGTAGTTCAGCCTAGCTTTGAACTTACTATGTAGCCCAGGCTGGCTTTGAACTCATGGCAATCCTCTTGCCTCAGCCTCCCAAGTGCTGGGATTACAGATGTGAGCCACCATACATAGCAAGGGACAACTGTATTAATGTCATCTTCATCTAACAGCTAAGGAGACAGAGGCAGAGAGAGGTAGTATATGTTGACAGGGAGTGTCAGAGTGGGGATGGAAACCAATGTTTGATTTTAGAACTCAACCATGCAAGGTAATATCCTGGCTTAACCTTGGAGTATTAATATCCTATATTTTGGATTCTTTTTTTTTTGGTACCAGGACTCAAACTCAGGACCTTGCGCTTGCCAGACAGGTGCTTGTACTGCTGGGGTATATCCCCAGCCCCTATTTTGGATTCTTATTGCTAAAATTTGGGACTACTGAGTTAGGTCCCCTTTCTCACCCCATCATGACTCTCCCTCTGAGCTTCTCCCGAGGGCACACGTGCTTCTGTGTGCTCCACGGCCTAGGATTTCTGTTACTAGGCCCCAGGATGAAAGGACCCACCTGCTTTTGAGATCCACTCCATGTACCCATTGAGCTCGCGTTCTATCTGTTGTTGCCGCCTCAGCTTCAGAAAAGCCCGTCGGTTTTCTACCCGTTCTCTTTCTTTGGCAAACTCTCTGTAGAAGCACACAAAAAAGACAAGGTCCACTGCTTTGGAATTTGTAAGGAGTCTTGTGCATGCGTGCGTGCATGTGTGTGTATGTGTGTGTGTGTGTGTGTGTGTATCTGGGGGTTCACTGGAGGGCAATGTTGTTCAATAGAATCAGTGTTCCGAGAGAAGAGGAGATACTAGAGGGCTGGGTACCTGCCAGTCTCATACTTCCCAACATCTGCATGCAGCTGGAGGAAAAGAGCACAAAACTATGCCATGTCAGCCACTGATGACTACATACTCCATTTTCCATCTCTCCATATCCCTGGCCAAAAAATATTTTCATCCTTCCCTTAGGTAAGGACAATGAGGCAATGGGATATCAGCTTAAGATTTCTGCAGCAGCCTCGCTTCCTTTTTGTAGGCCCCACCTCTTCCTGTTTTTCCTCTTCCTCTTCCTGTTCAGAACATGTTTCCCTGTGAGGATGAGGCAGCCATCCTGAGACCAGGAGGTATCCCTGAGGCTGGGAGCACCTGTAAGGATGCCTGAGTGGAAAGCTGGAAGAATCTGAGGTTGCTGATGACATTGCGAAGCCACCACACCAGCCCCCAGACTTCTTATGGTGAGAAATACAAAGCTTCTGTACTTGCTCATTTGTGATAATAGGGATGGAACCCCAGGCTTTGTGCATACTAGGCAGTCACTTTACCACTGAGCTGTATCCCCAGTCCTAGAAAGCCCATTTATTTATTTATTTTTTAATTCTATTTTATTTTAAAGAGTAAAAGAAGAATAACATAATAATGGGGGGGGCTTACCAAATTACAGACAAAGTGGTAGGAAATTATCAGTGGTTATTGTTTTACATATTGTTATCTATAAGATAGTTTCTCAGGAAAACAAATAGACAAAAAATAGTGAGTTACAGACAAAAGAGGTAGGAGATTATCAACAGTTGTTGTACTATACTTAGGTATCTTCAAAGTGGCTTCTAAAGAAAATAAATAGAGCTATACATGAGTGACCTATTGAATCATCATTAACTATTCTCAATGGTTGTTGTAGGAAACACATAATAATAAACATGCATCCATTTATGAAATAGGATAGGTAGAAAGCCCATTTAAAATTAAGCCAAAAATAATTGTGGGATTTGTGAGCAATTGGCGTCAGAAAAATAAGTTTTTGGTTACATACTATGGAGAGGAGGAAATCCAAACTGTTTTTTTTTTTTTTTGGTTAAAAAATGTAAATTACAGTAAAGCCCCTAGGAGTCTCCTTCCTGGTTTCCCCTAGCAGTACACAACCTATGCATCTGTCCAGGGTGTGCTAAGGACAGTCTGGCTGCTCCAAAGCAGGGAAAGAGGCCTGATATTTGCCTGATGAGTGAACAGGAAGCTCTGATGGCCTCTTCCTGGGAGGAAGCTGGTGAGGAGGCCTGGGCTGGAGGGAATCACAATGGAGACTTACCCTGATAGCACACCCAGCACGAGGTTCAGCATAAAAAAGGAGCCGATGATGATGAGGGGGATGAAGTACAACCAGTTCCAAGTGTTCCCTGAGGCATCGTTGCTCTGTGGGTGCAAAGAAGGACAGCAGATGAGGGACTGGAATGGGGTCAGGGAGGACCTGACAGGCAGGAAAAGGAGGAGCTTTGGTTCTCCCGAGGTTGTGTTGCAAACCTTCCTGTAGAGTCCTGGAACTGCGGAGTTCCAGAGAGGGAAATGGGAGGATGCAGCCCAACCAGTGGGGAAAATCCAGAAGAACCATCAGAAGGCGAGAGCTCTGTCTTATCATGCCATGATCTTCAGAGGACTTGGGAACTGGCCCAAAATGAGAGAGGACTTTCCAGACACAGAAGGAAATAAACATCTCATTTGACCCAGCTATTCCCCTTCTGGGTATCTTCCCCAAAGAGAGAAAGACATCATATTACAGTGATCCATGCGTACTCATGTTTATAGCGGCACAGCTCATAATAGCTAAATCTTGGAAGCAGCCTGTATGCCCATCAACAGGTGCATAGATAAAGAAATGTGGTGTATATACACAGTGGAGGACTATTTTGTCATCAGGAAGGAAAAGCTTGCGTCATTTGTAGGAAAACGGATGCACTTTGAGATCATAATGCTGAATGAAGTAAGCCAGACACTGAAGGTAAGATATCACATGGTTTCTCTTATATGAGAAACCCAAAGTACAGATGATTTAAAGAGCAAAATAAAAAAGAGATGACAGAAACAGGGAGACAGACTCTGCGGAGACAGGAAGGGCATGTGGGGATTAGGGGAGATGGGAGAGAGGGCTGGGGATGGGGAAGTAAATAAGGATCAAAATGCAGTACATATCCGTACCAATTCCCCAAGACGAATGTATTATGCATTGCAGACTCATGCTAATAAAAAAATTTAAAAAATAAAACACGGCAGTTTCTTAAAAAAGAGAAAGAAAAAAACATACTGAAAAAGGGAAATGAATCCCAGTTTTCCTCTCTTCTCCCTACACTGTCAGAGTGTCCTCCTTGGTGGCGGTACACGGCCACATGCCCTGACAGCCTCATGAAGCCACCAACCCAGACCATGGGGCTGGGAGTCCTTTCCTGAGGTGTCTCCTCTGCATTCCCTGAAGCCTTAGTGCCAACCACGAAAAGCTCCCAGAGGAGCCCAGCTCAATTCTCAAAGGAGAATTCTACAAATAGGACATTCTCTGAAACAGAGAACAGGACCCTACAGTAAGAAGGAACTAAGAGGAGGAGAGGGAAGAGGAGGAGAGGGAGGGAGAGGAGTGAGAGGCTATAAGAATGACAAAAACCAGCACTAATAGGGTATTTACTATGTGCTGGATATTCTACGAACATCATATGTGACGTGTGCTCACAAAACACGGTGAATACTTAAATTTTAAAAATTATTACAGTAAAAGACACACTGCCACCACTGTCCCTCAAAATACCTCGCCTCCCTTGCATGGAGCACACACATACCCGTCGTTCTTGTCACTTTCAAAAGCGGGTGTGGGGGCTGGGGGTTTAGCTTAGCAGCAAAAGCGCCTGCCTGGCAAGCGCAAGGTCATGAGTTTGGTTCCCGGTACCGGAGAAAAACCAAAAAATAAAAAATAAAATAAAAAATAAAGCGGGTGTGGAAGTCTTGTTTTGTGAGTGTCTGTAGTTGTGTTGCTGCGGCTGTCTTGATGTCCTCAGCAGATTCAAAGTATTGCCCCTTCATGGTCATTTTGACTTTGAGGAAGATCCAGAAGTCATACAGTGCCAGATTCAGCAAATAAGGTGGATGAAAACACACTATAATATTTTTATTTGATAGAAATTGCCGTATACACTTTGGATCAACTCTCGACATCAAGGAAAGACACTCATGAAAAATGACTTGCAGAAATGCTTTGGAAACTGGCTAAAAAGGTAGGGTAAAGTGTGTTCAAAGTGAAGGGGAAATTTTTTGGGGGTGGGTGGTTAATAGCATTGTGTCTTACTGTAATATATTTTTAAACATTCACTATATTTTTGCTCTCATATTATATATTAATTCACTTACTATTTTTGTTACTTTTCTCTCATTGCTGAGACAAACGCAACACCCAAAGTTAAAGGGAGAAAGGTTTATTTAGCTCACAGTTTGTGGAGGTTTCAGTCTATAATCGGCCAGCTCTAAGACAGGATGGCACACGGCAGAGGGGCAATAGTTCATGGTGGCAAAACACAGCAAAAGCAACAAGAGCAAAAAGTGAGCAGCAAGCCTCTTTTCCTCCCTTATATTGTATGCAGGCTACCTGCCCTACGGCAGGTGCAGTACTCAGCCGCACCATCCCAGCACTAAACAATAAGTCAATCACAAACTCTAGATTTAGTTGCTTCCAAAAAGCCCACCTGCATGACTGCATGAGGCTTTGGTGGGGACATGCAGAAACAAATCATAACACTCCACCCCTGGCCTCTCAAAGACTCATGCACATCCCTTTATGCAAAAGAGATTTAGATTTAGTCCATCTCTAAGAGTTTCCAAAGTCCTAACAGTTTCAGCATTGCTGAAAAGTCTAGGACCCAAGACTCCTCCAAGATGTAAGTAAATTCTTAGCTGTGTGTCCCTGTACCAATGAAAAGAAAGTTAAACACTTCCAATATTCATGGCACAAGGTACACATTTCCATTCCAAAAGTTACAAATGGGGTATACAAAGGAATGGGACAAAAATAAGTCCAAAATCTAGCAGGGCAAATTTAAGTCCTGTAGTTCCATACACAGCACATGAGGCAATCTTTGGCAAGTTGTGAGTTCCAAAGGGCTTGGGTGGCTCTGCCTCTATGGCACTTCTGGTGGAAGTAGCTGCTAGGGCTTCTCTCTTAGGTTTGCTTTGCTCCCTCCTTGCAGCTTTCCTTAGACAATCCACGTTCCTGGCATTTCCAAACTTCTGGGGTCTTCACTGCACCTTTGGCTTCATACTCACAGCTTCACACATTGCCCTCTCAGCGGGGCACACTACCTGGCCTCCTAGGCCTTCCGAAATCTTGGTGGAAGTCTTCCTGACCCCACAACTCCTGCGTTCTGCATGCATCTAAAACCAGTAGATGATGCCAAGGTCTGCTGCCAGTTGGAGCAGTAGTCAGCCTTCCTTCTATCTTGGCTGTAGGGGTCAAATGCCTGGATCGCTGAGCACTCTGAATTAAATTCTGAGGAACAAATTCTCTATCCTGCCACCATTCTGGAACATGGTGCTCTGGGGCTTTCTCCTCAAAGCAAAGTCTTTCACTTTTGCAGTTTTGAGGCTGCAAAGGGTAGAGACTTGCTGCTTCTTGTGATGCCCTCAGGCCATCTTTTATATTCTCCTTTTCCTTCTCAGCAATCAAGAGCTCCTCTGCTTTATTTTTGCAGTACACAGCTTTACTGGAGCTTCCTTTCTGGTCAGACTCACAACATTTTAAATCATTCTGCTGGGCTCTTGATTCTCAACACAGATCTGGCTAAAAGCCCCCAACAGTAGCCATGCCACTGCCTCAACATTCAACTGCCTTGAAATTTCTTCTACAAGATTCATTAGTCTGCCACCTTTAACTTTAGTCTCAGGCAAAGTCTCTGGACATGAGAAAAATGTGACAAATGATTTGCCAATCCATAAAACAAACACACATCATCTGGACTCCAAGAGCCAACGCAGTCTTTCGTCTCAGCAGAAACTTCTCAAGCTTGGTCCTTACTGGCAGGATTTCTATCAGCCTTCTGAGCTCTGGCCAGAATCTCCCACACAGAACAGCCTAAGGTGTTGCAGCTCTATTTTTCAGCCAGCATCTCCGAACCTTTCCAGTATCTTCCTACAAGCCCTTCCCAAAGGTTCTTGAACCACATAGTACAGTCACAGCAATGACCCCACTTCTCTGATGCCAAATTCTCAGTTACTTTTCTCTCTTTGCTGAGACAAAATACCCAACACCCAAAGTTAAAGGGGAAAGGTTTATTTAGCCCACATGTCCCTTTATAAGGACACCAACTATGTTGGATCAGAGTCCACTGAACGACCACATGTTTTTCTTTTTGCAGAGCTGGGATGGAACCCAGTACCTTGAATGTGCTTGGTAAGTGCTCTACCAATGCACTGCACCTCCAAACCAACATATTAGGTTTTTTTTTTTTTTTTCAATTTTTATCATCATCAGTACATGTTTGCAGTGCATGATGACTGCATTCTGCAAGAGGGCTGGCACATGCACACCACACGTCTTAATTCCTTTTCCATCCCCTTCCCCTCCTCTCTTCCCTCTTCCTCCATCTCTTGGTCCCTTTCCTTTTGGAAATTTCCTTTTCCAAATGGCCCGTCTCCCTGTTTCCTATCATCTATCTTTTATTTTGCTCTTTAAGTTTACTTTTTGTTTCTCATATAAGAGAAGCCATGCAGTATTTCAGCTTGTGAGTCTTTCTTTTCACTTAGCATTATGGCTTCAAGGTGCACCCATTTTCCTGCAAGTGACTCGAGTTTATCCCTCCTTACAGCAGAGTGGTTCTCCATTGTGTGTGAACACCACATTATCCGTTCACATGTTGATGGGCACACAGGCCATTTCCAAGATTTACCTCTTTCTCTGAAAACAAGACCTAGCTGAAAAATAATCAGCCTTCAAAACTAGAGATCAAAAGCACCAGCCCCACCAGCCCGTCCTCACCTTACCCACCATCACTTTCTCTTGCTCACAGCTACTCTGTAAGGCAGGCATGTACTGCAAATGTGTACCAAGAAAAAGAAAAATTAAAAGAGAAATAACAAAAATAGTGAAGGTGGTGCTGAGGTGGAGCCGGTGGTGAGCATTTGCCTAGCAGGTGTGAGGCCCTGGTTCCACCTCCAGCCCCACAAGGAACGGGTAAGGTGGTAATTTCATGTGACAGGCATTTTATCACGCAGAAAAGAAAACAGACACGGGAGCCAGCTTTCAGCATGGACACAGGCTATGGCTGGAACAGCGCGTTCCCACCGCAGTCCGCAGGGCACTCTGGGAGGCCCCAAGCGCGTTCCCACCACAGTCCGCAGGGCACTCTGGGAGGCCCCAAGGGCCCCTGGGATAGGGAGGATGAAGT